CAGCATTTTGTACAATTACAGCAAGAATTCCTTACTCTTATGCTTAAATCTCCTTGAAATAATGTTCTATGAGCATGCTTGATTACCTATTACCCCTGTGTGCTAGGTTTGTGTTTCACGACTGAAGGAAGAACTTCATTTGACCTCAATCAACCTGGATGCATCTCAAGAAAGCTGTTATAGTCCAATGTTTCCTGTTTTATGAGGATGTAATACTAAAATTTGAAACTTCATTAAGTTCTCAGGAACTTGCTTGGAGTAAAGGAAAAGACCTGCAAATTTTGGAGGTATCTTGCTTCCTAAAACTTAGGCATGTAAAAACTGAGTGCAAAGAGGGTTGATAAGCAACTATGAGTATAGATATCCCTGTTCCTTTTAAAACCAGGCCATAAATCTCTCTCTCATCTCAAGACCTGACTTGTCTTGTGACCAAAGGCACCAGCTTACAGCACATGCGAAACTCCTTTCTATCCAGAGAATGTTCTACTGTTGTAGGAGCAAATTACTGCAGATGCTGGAATCTGTAACGAAAACAACAAGTGCTGGAGATCACAGCGGGTCAGACAGCCTACATGGAGAGAGAGGAAGCTAAAGTTTCGACTCTAGATGACCCTTCATCAGAGCTGACGTGAAGTGTGGAGGGCACAGCATTTATGCTATAGTTGGTGGTGGCGTGGTGGGGGGTGGGGTTTGGAGTGTGGAGTGTGGAGTGCTGAGGGAGAAAGGATGTTGACAGTTCAGATTGAGTGATCGGAATGTGAGAATGTCAGAACAATTATGTGTCTAACTTTACCAGATTGGAAAGAACAGACACTCCCACTGGGGAGGGGAGAAAGGACATAGTGACAGAGAATGTAACAAGTAAAGCTAAAAGGATAGGAAGGAATGGGAGTTGGTTCACAATTTGAAGGCATTGAACTCGATATTAAGTCCAGAAGGCTGTAAAGTGCCTAGTCTGAAGATGAGATGTTGTTCCTACAGTTTTTGCTGTGATTCACTGGAGTACTGCAGCATGCTGAGGACAGATAAGTAGGTGTGTGTCCCGCACACAGCGTTTGTTGTTTACAGATTCTACTCTTCCCTGCCTTTCAATTTTTTTTTTGACACAGTGAGGGTCTGTACAGCTACTTTCCTTTCATTTGTCTCCTTTTATTGGTGGAATGGAGTTGAGGCTATGCTTACTTAATTGTGAAACAGTTTTAAAAAGAGGATAAAACAAACTCAGAGGGCATGATTGGCCTGGAATATTATACAATTTAATGACCAATCTGAAGAACAAGAGGCCGGTATCCCGTCACCAAGTCACCCTTTATTTACATGAACAGACCTTCACTATTGCACTGCTTCATACAGAGTCAGGCACCACAGCATCGCTATCTCTGACCCTTTTTATATGTTAGCCAGGAATCCCTGACTGGACCCGATTAACAGCCCGAATCAGGAAACTCCTATTCCTGTTTCTTTTTTCCCCTTATAAACCTGTTCAGAGATGTTATAATACATCTCTGGAGCAGGAGGGACTTGAACATGTGGCTCCTGGTCCACAGGCAGGGACACTACCACCGCACCACAGGAGGGCCCCCTCCACAGGTGCATGTAACTTTTTTTTTATTTAACCTATTTTTATAATCAACCTGTTCAGGCAGGTTATGACACACCTCTGCAGCAGGTTGGACTTGAACCTTTTCCAGAGGTACGGACACTACCACAAAAGGGCCATGAAACTCAAATTCTACGAGGTCCAGTTGCCTGACCTTGTTACAATCATGACAGAGGTGATTTGGCAGCGAGTGTAGCCATGGCCAGGGCTGCCAGCTGGTTGGATGTTGAATTGGCCAATCAAAAATCAGTGTCTACTGAGACCGACAACTGCTCATTCAGAAACATGCAGCTCCGAACACTGATGCCATCACAGACTTTACGTGTGATGTCAAGCACGAATGCATTTCTGTTCACATGATTTAGAATTGAGCTTCAGTGGTGGGGAGAGGAAGAAGGTATGGAAACTCTCGGAGAGAGAGGGGAAGAGAGCCTAGAAACGGGGGGACAACCTGCAATAAGGAGAGGCCAGAACCCGGGAGGCCCTCTCCACCTCAGTCTCCCTTCCACATGCCCGTTCCCCTCTGATTCAGTCCCAGTCCCAATCTCTCCCTCCTTCCCCACAACATCCCTCCACCGCCGCATCCCGATCTCTCTCTCTCTCTCTCCCTACTACTCTTCCATTCAGATCTCTCTCTCTGTCTCCACATCCTCTCACCCAGATCTCTCTCTCACTCCCTAGCCCCCCACAACCCCTGGTCCTGTCCTTTCACCCTCCCTTCGCCACACGCTCCCCCCCAAAATCTGTGCACGTGCGAATTAAAGTGGCATGTACCATGCATTCTTTGATGTCAGCAAACAAAATCTTAAAGAGAGACAATGGTCCTGACTTGTTTGTGGCAAGGGCAGAGTGATTTTGGAAGCTACAGAAGTGGCTGCTGTGTTTTACTCTCTCTAGTTTTATATCCAGTTAAAGAATCGTTGAATGTTTTGAGAAAAGAATTCCAGTCTGTCAGAAATAAGTCAATATTTCTGGAAGTCCACTGAACTGTCTGCATTCACCGGTGACTTTGGAATTCGATAGACAATGGTGAACAACCCATTGCTGAAGGATCGCCTGAAGGGTTGGCATCAATTGAACTGGCAAACTACAATTTTTAAAACTTTTCTTCTTAATTTATCCCTTAACTGCATCTGTTAGTATGCCTGTCTGAAAGAAAATGGGAATATGATCAAAGAATTCGAGGTTTAAATCATAAGATGTTAATTAGATTACCTTGTTGTTTAGCTTTGTCCTCAAAGTTACATCATTAATAATAAACTGTTCATTTTTGTTTAAGTTATAAACTTGGTGTTCAAGATCTGTTATTAGTAAAGTCTGGTTAGTAACAATCATGCAAAGGTGAAGGTCATTGAATATTATAATTTCACTGTTTTACAAATCCAGTGATAGCAAGGCTAATTTGGTTTGGCTTGCTATCCATGTGTCATAACATAATCTTGAAATATTAACATGCATCCACCTTTATGAAATGGACATCAAATGTGTTTCTTTAAGATGTAGATATAAGATCATGTGCAACCCCAAAACACTGATATAGACTTACAGACATTAATCTTCACTTGTTACACAATGCCTACATAGTTTCTTGTCACTTCTTAAACTCCAAATAAACTTCTTGATATTGTTGGAAGAGTTGTCACTGTACTATTAATAATATACCGTTGTTGTAAGGCTGAATTAACAAACTCTACCAAAACAGCCTCAACATTTTAATTCTTAAATATTACAACAAAGGCCAAAGGATTATGGCCAGTGCACATCAATGCTTCTTTTTGTGTTTGTGATGGATACATGCGGTGAAATGATTAAGAACCAAATCACAATCAGAGTTTCCTTTTCCATTGTAGAAAATTCCTTTCAACACCGATTTGGTTTCTTGGTAACGTACTCAAACTGGCTTCTCTCTGCTCACTTCAACTTCTTGCAACAATACCACAACACCCCACCCCACAGCAAGTTGTAATTTAAAATAAAAGGTATTTAGTGAAGTCAGAGGTTGCCAACACCAGGTTATCATAAGAATTGCTTTCACCTTCTCAAACGCTGTTTGGCACTCTTGACCACATTGTAAAAGGGAATATAGGCAATGGTATGGTAATCATCCTGTTAGAGGGATAGCCATAAAGTTTGGTAAAACTACACTTGTCAAAATATCTCATGATTTTCGGAACAGGGAATTCTGTCAATGCATTTATTTTACAGTCCTTGCTAATATTTGCCCTCATCCTATGATACACTTTTGCAAATTCACTCTCAACAAGATTTATCACCAGGTCAGCTAACATAACACAGTTGGAAGCCTTTTGTTAAACCCTCACATGCTCCTCCCAGGCATTGCTGTACATTAATGTATAATCCAAATAAACTACACAATTAGAAACACTAATTAAGACTTGGTTCATTAGTTTTTGGAAAGTAGGTGGAGAATTTTAAAACCCAACTGACAACACAACATTGATATAATTCCATTTGGTGTAACCAAAGGTGATATCTCCCTAACTGTTGATGCCAACAGCCCTTGGCAAATTCCTTCAGTGCATCAAGCTTGATCAGGAATGAAGCACTGCCAACCTGATCAATGCAGTCTGATAACTCAGAGTTGGATATAAGTCAGTTTTCATCACTGCATTTTGTTTCTTGTAATCAAAGCTGAATCCAAATGATGTTAAACTTTCAAAACTAATACCAGAGGAGATATCCAATTGTCAGTAGACTAACCTGGGTTCAATCAAGTAATTTTCTAATGTGCCAATCTCACTAGAGCTTGTGTTTTGGGCTGAAACGAAAAGGATGTTGCCTTATCAGTGCAGGTTCCTCAATTTCAACATCATTACTGGCTAAAGTTGTACAAAGCTTCTCAAATTCCAGAACAAACCTGACTAGATTCTCCTGTTGTCCCTCCTCCATGTATAAAAATATGGTGTTCTTCTGTCCCAATATTTCAGTGCTGCCAAATTGAATAGGAGGAGATTCAACCAGCGAATGGTCAATATCGCATTCTACTGCAGCAATTCAAGAAGGCAGTCTCTGTGAGACAACTACGGATGGGTAGTAAAAACAGGCCTGCTCAGCAACACCTACAATCAAGAGCAAGATTTTAAAAAAATAGGAGATACAGACCCAAATATAAAACAGTTAACACCCCTCCACACCCCAAGATAAAACAATGAACACTGTCCTACAGGAGACAAATATAAAACCAAGAGTCTCAGATTTCAATCTAGCCCAGTTCAAGATTTTGTTCCAGGGATCCTAAGTCTCCCAAGAAGCCAAGACTCTATGATAAACAGCAGAAGTCAAAACCCTGGGGGTCACTTGTGAACTTGCTGGTGTCTCAGCAAGTGAGCCGACCGAGTAAACCGCTTCCCACACTGGGAGCAGGTGAACGGCCTCTCACCGGTGTGCGTGCGCTGATGTTGCAGCACCGTGTATGACCGCGAGAATCGCTTGCCGCACTGCGGGCAAGTGAACGGCCTCTCCCCGGTGTGAATCTGCTCGTGCTTCAGCAGGTAGGATGAGTCGGCGAATCCCTTGCCGCACTCGGAGCACACAAACGGTCTCTCCCCGGTGTGGGCGTGTCGGTGCCTCAGCAGATCGCTGCCTCTTCGGAAGCTCTTCCCGCAGTCTGGACACCTGAACGTTTTTCCATTGGAGTGAATGTGCCGGTGCCTCCAGAGGTTAGACGAGTGAGCGAACGCTTTGTCGCACGTGGGGCAGACAAATGGCCTCTCCCCGGTGTGAGTGCGCCGATGAACCTCCAGCTGGGAAGGGACTCTGAAACCTTCCCCGCAGTCCTCACATTTCCACAGTTTCTCCATGGTGCGCCTCTCTCCAGCTTGCACTTTCGCTTGATTAGGTGGCAAACGTGCCTGCGTTTATCGCGCCCCCGGTGAAAGGGGGCAGAGTGAGCAGACTTTGTGAACTTTTGTAGTCCATGGGGTCGAACATTTGTCCCCCAGTGATGGGCAAAGCTTTGCTAAAACAGAGGTCACATGTCGAGCCCCCCCTCGCTGTGGGAGGTGCAATGTTTTTTCACCTTGTGTGACCTGGTAAAGCCCTTGGCACAGCCAGTGACCCGGAACACTCACTTTGGGTGCGTGTGCGTCTTGGTGCTTTTCCAGACAAAACTGGTGGTGGAAATACTTTCCCACGGATAGAACATACGGTCAGTTCTCCTTCCACACTCAAAAAAGATCAATGACGCACAGCTTCTAACAAATCAAGTGGTTGCATCACAACATGCTTTGGTTTCCTGGCCTGTCCATCCTCTCCTCTTAACCTGCTGTGAAAGGACGTTACAGGAATCACTGTCAGTACGTGGCAGAAATTCAGAACAGAAAATTCCATGTTCTATGCCAAGTATTATCACCCAAGCCCTGTGAATGTTCCCAGCCTTCATTCATTCTAATTGATTCTCTTCATGTTGCTGCACAGTTGCCTTCAAACGGCCGGGCTGCACTGAGAAAGGAGATAGAGTTTACAGATCCTGAGCCCTATCTGAAACAATGAGCATTCTCCAGTTTCTCTCTATCCACCACTTCTGGCTTCAACCTGAGCCACGCCAACATGCGCGACTGTCTGTGTGGAGTTTGCACGTTCCACCCCACTGTGTCTGTGTGGGTTTCCTCCCACAATCCAAAGATATGCAGGTTCGGGTGGACTGGCCATGCTAAATTGCCCCATAATGTCCAGGGATGTGCAGGCTCGGTGGTCTAGCCATGGGAAATGCAGGGTTACAGGGACAGGATCTGCGTGGAATGGTCTTTGGAGGGCCAGTGTGGACTCAATGGGCCAAATGTCCTGCTTCCACACTGTATGAACATCAAACACAGGAGACTTCAAGCATGCAGGACAAAGCAGGCCACTTGACTGGCACCAAATCTGCAAACCATCGACTCCCTCCACCACTGACGCTTAATTGCAGCAGTGTGTACCATCTGCAAAAACTCCCCGAGGCTCCTTAGATAGCATCTTCCAAAACCCACAACCGCTTGCACCCGGAAGGGCAAGTGCAACAGATACACAGGAATACAACCCCCTTTCAAGATCCCCTCTGAGCCATCCACCAGCCTGACTTGGAATTATAATCAATGTCCCCTGACTGCCTCTGGGTCAAAATCCTTGAGCTCCCTCCTGAATGAAAACAGTGGGTCTATGTAACAGCAAATGAACTGCAGGTTCAAGAAAGCTGCCCACCGCCAGATTCATGATGTGGATGTTGCTGGCTGTACCAGAACGTAGCACCCTTTTGTAGGTGGCCATGAGAGGATGGCAGTGGGCTGCTTTCTTGAACGTGCAAACGTACATATGGAGGATCACCCAACCGACAGTAGCAGATACTCCAGTTTCTGAGGTGCAGGGCATTGTGGTTCATCTGACCGCCATTCCTAACCAAGTCCCAGTGAAACATTCCGCTGACAGAGAGAGTGCAAAATACGAAACATTTTACGTCTACCACTCGCAGCTTGTCGCAATGGAATGGTTGGCTGATCTTGGCAATTAGTCTGCGAAATAAGTATTCAAAATGCTAGTCCACAAGTTCAGAAGAGATTTACCAAGATGTTGCTGGGAAGGGAGAGTTTGAACTATGGGAAGAGACTGGGACTTTTTTCAATGGAGCGTAGGAAGTTGAGGGGTGACCTTATAAAATCAGGAGGGGGTATAGATAGGTTAATAACAGGTGTCTTTTCCCTAGGGTGGGGGATTTCAAGACTAGGGGGCATATTTTTAAGGTGAGGGGAGAACAATTTAAAAAAGGCATGAGGGGCAAAATTTTTTCCAGTGCAAGTGGTTTGTGTGTGGAATGAACTTCCAGAGGAAGTGGTGGATGCGGGTACAGTTACAATGTTTAAAAGAGATTTAAATAAGTACATGAATAAGAAATATTTAGAGGGATATGGGCCAAGTGCAAGCGGGTTGGACTAGTTTGGTTTGGGATTAGGGTTGGCATGGACTGGTTGGACTGAAGAGTCTGTTTCTGTGCTGTGTGACTCTACGACAAGAGAGGAAACGTCCCAGCATCCAACCTGTCAGGCCTGCCCAGGAATCTTATAGGTTTCAACAAAACGGTCCCTCATTCTTTCGAACTCCAATAACTATGCAACCAAACTGCACAGCATTTCCTCTTAAGACAACTTCTTCATCCCAGAAATCAGTGTGGTGAGCCTTCCCTGAATCACTTTGTCATTACCGTTCCAAAGGCATCATTCCCTCTGCATCACCCTGGTGCACCTCTCAACAATTCCCATTACGTTCTCCCCTTCCAGAGACATCTTCTGATACAATCAAAGAAAGCACAGCACCTCCCTTTTACCTCGTCTGTCTTGGCATTCCAAGGCCCCAGACGCAACCTCCAGGCAAAACAGTAATTTATTTCTGCTTCATTCAGTACAGTTTACTCTACACTGGAGGAACAAAATACTGGGGCAACACGGTGGCTCAGTGGTTAGCACCACTGCCGCACAGTCACCGGGGGCCTGGGTTCAATTCCACCCTCAGGCAACTGTCTGTGTGCAGATTCCTCTGGGTGCTCTGGTTTCCTCCCATAATCAAAAGGATACGCAGGTTAGGGCAGAATGGCCATGCTAAATTGCCTATAGTGTGCAGGGATGTGCAGGCTGGGTGGATTAGGCATGGGAAATGCAGGGTTGCAGGGACAGAGTGAGATACTATTCAGAGGGTCGGTGTCAACCCAATGGGCCAAACGGCCTGCTTCCATAATATAGGGATTCTACAAAAACACAGACTCGACAAAAGACTGTGTGGAACACCCCAGCTCTGAAGCAGCATCAATCATCAGAGAAGTCACACGTTTCCAATCAAAACTCTCCCACATTTTGTTCACCATTTTTGTAAGATGTTAAGTAATGGGAACGGCAATATGTCATTTGGCCCATCAAGCTAGCTCTGCCATTCAATAAGGTTGTGGCTGAGCTGGTTCTTCCCTGACCAAGCACAGGGGGTGCGGCAGATAATCAGGCAAGCTCATGGAATGTTGGCCCTTATTTCAATGGAGTTGCAGCATATTATGGACCAGACCAAGCCCCACCCCCTTCAAAAATATCAAGAAGATAGCCTAGACCCTGACTTTTATCTTATTCAACATGTAAGGTGCTGTGTTCCAGATGTAATTCAATTAGTTACACTACACAGCTTTAAGCAAAACACACTTTAGTCTTACCCCACTGTTAAAATACAAACAAAAGAAAGAAGAATGCGTATAACTTTAACTCTCTTGGAAAAAGTGACAGATTAATAGATTATTTACCAACTCTACAGCAACTGTTCCAATACAGTACCATCCCATAAACACATCCTTGGCAAAGTCAGTAAACCAGATTGCCTCATGTGCGATTCTGGCAGCAGATGGAGAACCCCAAGCTTTTTAGCTGTAGCAGATGAATAACAGCTTGCACAGCCAACTTCAACATGCCAACAACTGCTGAAAGCTAAATTAAAACCCTGGTTCCTGCAGGAGCCTGATTCCACCCATTCATGCTGCTTCTATTGTTCTAACTTTGGAAATAAAAACCCAAGGCCTCACAAGGTGTTTATTTTATTGCATTGGAAGAGACAACTCACCACCTATGGCTCAAAACCTCTTTTCAAAAATAAAACAAGACAAAATACACCTCTTCAAGCCATTGTATTGTCACAGGTATCAGAATAGGGAAGTCTTACTACAACCAAACTACCATAGAATAGAACCCCCACAGCGTAGAAGCAGGCCATTTGGCCCATCGACTCCACACTGACTTGATAAAGAGCATCCCACCCCATCTCTGTAACTCTGCATTTACCATGGCTAACCCACCTAGCCTACACATTCCTGGACACTTTTGGGCAATTTAGCATTGCCAATCCACCTCAACCACACATCTTTGGACTGTGGGAGGGAACTAGACCACCCGGAGGAAACCCAAGCAGACACGAGGAGAATGTGCAAACTCCATACAGTCGCCCCAGGATGGAATTGAACCTGGATTCCTAGCACTATGAGGCAGCAGCACTAACCACTGTCCCACTGTGCCACCCTGCAGCAGTTCAAAGGTTCACTTTGATGGTCCCTGGCATGGAGGGATCGTCTTCTGAGCAAAACTTAAACAGGTTGGGTTTCCCACTCATTGGAATTTAGAAGAATGAGAGATGATCTCATTGAGACGCACAGAATTCCTAAGGGGCTTTACAAGGTAAATCCTGAGAGGATGTTTCCTCTCATTGGAGAATCCAGGACCAGAGCGTATAGTCTCAGAATTAAAGGGTGTTAATTTAAGACCGAGATGAGAAGAAATTTCTTCTCCGAGAAGGTTCAGTGTCTTTGGAACTCCTTACCACAGACAGCTGTGAGGCAGAGTCTTTAATTTAAATATTTAAGGCTGAGATAGATATATAGAAACAAAAACAGAAATTACTAAAAAAAAGCTTAGCAGGTCTGGCAGCCTCTGTAGAGAGAAATCAGAGCTAACGTTTCAGGTCCAGGGACCTTTGCTGAGCTTTTCTAGCTATTTCCGCTTTTGTTTCTGATTTCCAGCATCCGCAGTTCTTTAGGTTTTTATAGATATATAGATGCTTGATCAGTCAGGAATCAAGGGTTACAGGGAAAGGGGAGCCAGATCAGTCATGATCCCAGTGAACAGCGGAGGAGTTTCGAGAGACCGAACGACCCATTCCTTTTCCCATTTCTTCTGAACTTTTGGTGATAACTCACTCCTGCCAGTCTCCCATGTGCCTAGAGCTGCAATCAGGATTGCATTATATTCAAAAACAGAAACTATTGGAGCAAATAGGCAGATCTGCCAGCATCTGTGGTCAGAGTAAAAATTTCAAG